ACAAGGGCTGCAAGAATCTGACCCTCAGCCCCACAGCTAGTTGGCTGCTGTCCTGAGAGCCCTCTGGGTATGGCCACACTGCAGAGCAGGCTAAGCATCACAGTGTGGGCTCTTAATTTAAGTGTTGTGCATAGCCTGGGGAGATGTACAGCCAGTTTTTCCTTTTATTGCTCCTGCAGGACACTGCCACACTGAGCAGAAATATCTCATTCCGAGTTCTCAGTTTGTTGAGCAGGCTCCAAGGAGTAGCATCCATCAGTGAAAATGCTGCCTTTCGTTCCTCTGGCTCCCTGAAGAGATTACACCCCCACCGGCCAATACTTTCAGTCTACAGCAACTGATTTTGCACAATTGTCCCTCCTGCCCCAAAACTCCTACTCATCCACTATGACGTGCCCAGCCCAGAACAAATTCAAAAAAAACAAAAAACAAGCAAACAAAACCCCACCATACAATGTCCTTGCGAAGAGCTGCTCAGCTCTTGTTTTGTAGTTCTAGCATAAGGAGTGTGGTTCATTTTGATTGTGCAGGGAATTAATTCAGAAAATTGGTTTGCTGTCAAGTTTATCTTTGTAAATCTGAGAAAACTGTTTTATTTTTCACTGACAATCACATTTGGATATTTTTTTTTCAGTGAAATCCTAGCAAAGCTTTCTTTATGTCACCATGAATCTTAGGAAGGCTTTCCTTGTAGTAAAACCTTTGTCACTGTATTTGCAAAACCGCTATTAACAATATTGGAAAAACATGTGAAGTATGAATCAGGCAACACATTGCAAATCACAAATTACAGAAAACCAAACTTTCCTATCCCCTTGAATGCCTGAAGCTTCTTGCAAAACTGCACGGATAGGACAGCGAAGGTCAACCATGTTCACACAAGAGATTTTAGACATAGAAAATGCTGTTAAAGGTTGTTACTTTTTAAGGCCTGCCTTGCCTTTTCCTTGATTAGACACCTATGCTCATACAGCTCCATGAAACAGCCAGAGTCACCTTTCTGATCGACAGCAGCACCGCACATCCCACTCTATTCTTCCAGTTTTGACAAGCAGATCTGTTCTTTGCTGTTGCACCAGGCTCCTTCCTCACCTCCCTTTTCTCCTGTTTATTCTGATTGTGCTGCTAATGAGACTCTTTGTTTCCTGACCTCTGGCCTCTTGACAGCCTCATGCAGCCCCCGTGATGTTAAATGAAATAAGGCACAGCAGCAATCCAGCAAACAAACCACTGAAATCAATCTCTGCAGTCTAGGTGCGCTTCATTAATATTTTTTTCTTCTGGACAGCACAGGAGGAAAGGTAAAAGAGGGGAGGTATCACACCTGGTGTTTGCCTAGATCAGAGTGGTGCACTGGAGATGGTATACTGAAATTGAGTGTGAAAAAACGTGTATCTTTGCAGCCATGGTAACAAAGCAATAGCTGCTTATGTTTCTTGATTTACAGGATCAGTAACTAGTATCAAGATTTTAAAAAATGGTACCATTAACATCTGGCTCAACATCTGGCAAACCTAGAAGTTAAGTGGCAAGAAAAAAGAACTAAAATGAAGCTGTTCTGAGGAGCCAGTGGAGTTGTTTGTAAAGCCCAAGGTAGTTTGGGGGCAGAAGTCACTGTAGCAGCAAGAGAAGAAATTAAATTAAAAGAGCAAGAGACCAAGAAAAGAGATAATTGTGAGAGCTTGGAAGGGAAGGGCTGGGGAAGGGACTGGGTTTGTTTGAGGAGCTCATCAAGGAGGGACTCGCAATGAGGGAGAAAGCAGGCTCAGTCAGTCCAAAAGGATGATGGAAATGGGGACGTAACAGCAGTTCATGGAGATGAAAGCAGACTCTTCTGGTACTGGAGGCCAGGAACCTCCACAGCTTCTATTCATTACCTTCTTCATCCTCCAGCTGTGTTTCACTGCTTGCACTGTAAAGACTAGTCATGATTTTATTCCACTACAGGGGTACCTTATCTTTTCCTACTGCCTACGTCTTGCTATTAAAAATTCTTGGGTTTGTGAGACTCCAGAAGTGATCGACAACCCATGAATGCAGATAGCTTCAGATCTTGAGACTGAATCTATCAAACCTGTCTTGGCTTTTTCTGAAGCGCTTGAAAATGGTGGTCATCATTTAGGCAGCAGCACTCTGCAGCCTGAAAAGGGTGGATAATGGGATCTGTAAAGTAATTTGACTGTCGATGGGGAACACGGGTATTCTTGGCTGCCTTTCACTAGGGGTCCTACCAGGCAGCATGGAGAAGAATCCCACAGTCTATGCGTCTCTGAGCAGCACAGGAGTAGAGGGTGCCTGTAATACCAAGGGCATACTTGGAGGAAATCTCTGTCCTCTTGTGTGGAAGCAACGACACAGTGAAGTGAAAGCTTTGTTTAAATGCATCTACTTCATAGCAGGTGCCCCCATAAACACATGGAAGACTTGGTCCTTTTTGTCAATCACCTGTGTAGG